GCTCAGAGCTGGTGCTCTTGCTCGCCGCCGAAAACCGCCGCCCCAACAAAACCAGCGCTCCTGCTCGAGACCTCCTCCCGTTTTACGCTGGACTGGCGCCCAACTCTCTTTTGAATTGGCGCCGCCCCCAGCAAGAACAACGCTCCCGCTCGAGACTTCCTCACTTTTTCCTGAGGACGGTGCTGTTCCTCGCCGCTGATAGCCCCCGTCCCGACAAAACTGCGGCTCCCGCTCGAGACTTCTCCCCTTCTTACTCAAGGCGGTGTTCCTCCTCGCCGCCGACAACCGCCATCCCAACAGAACCAGCGCTCCCGCTCGAGACTTCGTTTTGTTTTACGCTGGACTGGTGCCCTACTCTCTTCTGCATTGGCGCCGCTCCCGGCAACAGCAGCACCCCTGCTCGAGACTTCCTCCTTTTCTATTCAGGGCCAGGTCCTTGCCTCGCCGCCGACAGTCCCCATCCCCACCAAGCCAGTCTTGTCGCTCGATACTACCTTGAGCTTTACCTTTGGCTGGGGCTCCACTGACGGTCTCGCATCGGCGCAGCAGGGCGCGGGCATGTGTCTTCGAGGCGGGATATGGTGAAATTCCTCGGAGGAGTGTTTGCAAGACCTCATTGGGCGGGAGATCTGGGAGTGGGAATAACGGACCCCCGCGATAGAACAATAATCCACCATGATGGGGATGGTTATCATGATGGTCGCATGCTGCGTGTGGAAGCATGGCGCATGAGGGTAAAATGATTGTTGTTGTTGCTGCTGCTTTCGTCTCTCTCTCTCTCTCTCGCTCTCTCTTTCCAGATCTCTCTGTCTCTCTCCCTCTCCCTCTCTCGCGTCGGCGCCGTGCAGATTTCGCCCAACAGTGCCGGTCCCTTCACGGCGCGGCGCAGCTGTTTCCATCGCCAAGTCGCTGCACGCGCGGGCAGCTCGTCGCTCTCGCCCAGGCTGCTCCGCGCGCAGCTCGCCTGACAGTGGCGCTCCCGGCTGGTCGCGGCGCATATGCTTCGCTCGCCACAGCGCACGCAAGCGGCAGCGGCAGTCTCTGGGCACAGCAAGGAGCCAAGACCACAACTAGAAGTGGATTTCTCGAGGGGGCCCCTCGGGGGCGAACCCACCGCGATCTCGACACGAGCACGACGCCCCCCTCCCCCGAACTGACGTCCCAGAGGTCCCCAGGGGGCCCAGCCGCTCCGAGGCCCCGCCGGGAGGCGGGCATTTGGGAGGCGGGCGTTCTTCGGCTGCAAAAGTGACCGTTCGCTGGAGTGACCTTTCAGTGCGGGTCCTCGGATCCCGCGCCCCCCCGCGGCACCTCGAAGCCGCGCGCCAGAGGGCACTCTTGCCTGGGGTCATTCCTGCGTGTGCAGTAGATTCGTGTCGTGCCGACCGGCGGCGACCCCGCCGCCGGCGTTCAAAGTGAAGCGCCGCCGGCGACGCAGAATCGGCCGATGTTGAACGATCAGACGTTTCGGACACGGCCGATCGTTCAAGGTGGGACGATCCCCGCGGTGTCAGAAACCAACGCCGAAGTCGACACGACACGAACCCGCGGTAGACTTTCGAAGGTCTGCGCGGATTTGATAGGGTCGGCGCTGGGCGCCATTTCCTGGCGCGCGGAGAGGGTGGCGCCAGAGGCGCCGCCAGAGGGGCTCAGTGCAGATCCAAGAATTCCGCGTTGAGTTCCGAGAGTCTGTGTTTGCGCATTTGTTTTTCTCGTTCTAGACCCTTCGCGTAACCCCACTGGCCCCCCCTCCCTGCCTGGCACGCGCCGCAACCCACCTCCCCACTAAGTTTCACCCGCAGTGCCCGGCATCTGCCGCAATACCCCGTGCTACCTCCTTTGGGGCGGAGGAGCGCCAATACCCTTGCGTTGCGCGTTTAGACAGCCCACGCTAGTCTCGTGGACCTTGTAGTACCCTGCCTCGACCCATTACGTGCTACCCTCGCGGGGGCGAGGGACACCTGTGAGCGTCGCCGATAGACAGCCCACGCTGGAGACGTGGACCTTGCCAGGCCCTTCACCCCTGCTGCCATCGCTGCGTGGGAGTGTTGCCGCAGCCTCCATCACGGAGGCGGCCGCCAGCATAGACTCTTGGGTCGTCCGCGCCTGCCCAGGACTGCCCACTTTGGACGACAGTGACCGGTGGCTGAAATAACCCACCCCCTGCGTTCCACCCTTTTCTGGCACTGTGTACGGCAGTGATCGGGGTAACCAGCTGCCGCACTGCCAGCACTCAGCCCCAGACGCCCCATGGGCTAGGGGGCCGTCGGTGCCGCCCCTCCAGGGCAACCTACTTTGGACGACAGGGACTGGTGGCTGAAATAACCCACCTCCAGCGCTCCACCTCTTTCAATAGCATCTTGTACGACAGCAGGTGGGGGTCGAAACACCGCTCCACCCGCGATCTCTCACAGGCCCAAGTGGTGTGGAAGCTCCTCGTGTGGACGATCGGGATCGCCTACAGTGTTCAGCGGCCTCTGGCTGCGCCCCCTCTTCCTCATCA